TAAGGCCCCGCAACCCGCGATCTGCCCCTTAGTGACCTGCGCGCCGCCCCTTAAGGCCTCGTCGGCCCATACGCTCGCCCCTTAGCAACCCCGTCGGCCCCGCAATTGCCCCTAACGGCCCCGTCGGCCCCGCGCTCACCTCCCTAGAGGCCCCCGTCGGCCCCGCACTCGCCCCTAGAGGCCCCGAACGGCCCCGCGCTTGCCCCTAGAGGCCCTTTATGGCCCTGCGCTCGCCCCTAGAGGCCCCGAACAGCCCCACGCTCGCCCCTAGCGGCCCCTTACGGCCCCGCGCTCGCCCCTACAGGCCCCGAACGGCCCCGCGCTCGCCCTTAGCGGCCCCTAACGACCCCGCGCTCGCCCCTAGAGGCCTTGAACGGCCCCGCGCTCGCCCCTAGAGGCCTTGAACGGCCCGTGACCGCCACAGCCCTTCGAGGACAGATCCGAGCCGCGCGACCCGAACCGAGCCGCTCAGTCCAAGCCGAGCCGCGCGACCTGAACCGAACCGCGCCGCCCTACCCGAGCTGCGCCGCCCTACCTGAACCGAACCGCGCCATGCGTACTGACCGAGCCGCCCTACCTGTCTCCCCCTCCTACTCCTACTACTGCTCCTACTGCTCCTAAGGCTAGCCCACCTGTGCTAGCTTTCGATGCTGAGGGCCGCCCAGTGAAGTTTGACACCTGGCTAGATGACCTGCACCTCTATCTACAGCTCACTGCCAAGGACGACATCTCACTGTACGACCACGCCCTAGGCCATGTCACTGCCTCTGTTGCTACTGCTGACAGCACTGCCCGCTCACAGTGGCAGACTCGTGACGCCCACGCTCGCTTTGCTATTCGCAACTCCCTGCCGATAGATGAGGGCGACCACTTTGGTCACCACAAGACTGCACAGGCACTGTACACGGGCGCCGCAGCGGCAGGGGCAAAGGGGGCAAGGGCGGTGGCGGTGACCACGGGGGAGGCGGTGGTGGGGGCGGTGGCGGCGGTGGGGGTGGTGGCGCGACTAGAGGGGCTAGTGGCAGCGGTGGGGGTGGTGGCGGCAACAGCGGAGGAGGTGGCAGGGGCGGAGGCGGTGGTGGAGGTGGCGGTGGACGAGGTGGCGGCAGGGGTTGGGGTGGTTGAGGAGGTGGCGGCGGCGGTGGTGGTCGTGGAGGCGCTGGCCGTGGCCAGGGCCAGCAGCACACTCCGTCGCCCCAGGAGGTCCGTGAGTGGTACTCTTAGCACGGGGGGGGGGGTGGCTTTAGCTGCACGTACGTCATTCGCACTGGTGACCGCACAGGTCAGCCGTGTGGGGGACCGCACGCCACACAGCGCTGCTTCGCTCGTCTCAACGACGCTTGGCGTGTTCAGTTCCCTCAGGCCACTAAGCTGCCCCGCTGGGCTGATCTCCTGAAGAAGGGGATTGATATATATGCTCTAGACTTTGATGCTATCCTCACTGCTGTGTATGTGATGTCTACTAGTGGAGAGGGTGCTGAGTTTTTGTTTGTGCCGCCCGACCCGGGCATTAGGACTAGTCCGTCTGCCACTCCAGGCACTCGCGTTTCTGCTATCCCAGGTGCTGGCAAGGCAGCTGCTCTAGGTGCTTGTGCATCTGCCCCCCCTGGTACTGAGTCAACTGCAGCACTTCACACCTTCACACTGGACTCAGGTGCTTCTCGCTGCTTCTCTCGTGACCGCACTGCCCTTGAGCCGCTTGCTCGGCCAGTTGCTGTCTCCCTTGCTGACCCCTCTGGGGGTCCGGTCATTGCGACCTCCTCCACTGTCCTCCCCTGTCCTGCGGTCCCGTCGGGCACACTGTCAGGTCTCCACCTCCCCTAGTTCTCTATGAACCTCGTGGCAGGATGTGCGCTCCAGGACGGGGGTGTTCACCAGTTCACCCCTGCCTACAAGCGCGTGACACAGTGCACGTGTGCTCGTACGGGCCATCACTTGGCTACCTTCACTCGGCAGCCTGGGTTGGACCTGTACACACTGACCACTAAGTCACCTCAGGTCACTGCGTCTGCGTCTGCGTCCGCGTCAGGTCAGCTGTCGGCCCCCTGCTCGTGTCGCTCTCTGGCACACGAGACTGTCCTCTGGCACCACCACCTTGGCCACCCGTGTGTGCAGCAACTTCGTGCCATGCACTCCCTGTACCTTGTTTCTGGTCTTCCCAGGGTTCTCCCTCCCCTCCCACCCTCGCGTGCTCCTCCCTATCTTCCCTGTGTCAAGGGGCGGCAGCGCGCCGCTCCTCACTCCTCGTTTCCCCCAACGACTGCTCCCTTACAGACGCTCCACATGGACGTGTGGGGCCCAGCCCGCGTCCGTGGTCAAGGTCACGAGAGGTACTTCCTGATAGTTGTTCACGACTACTCGTGCTACACCTCGGTCTTCCCCTTGCGCACCAAGGGTGAGGTCCCTGATGTCTTGATCCCTTGGATCCAAAGAGCCCGTCTCCAGCTCAGCGAGCGTTTCCACTCGGACTTTCCTGTCCTGCGCTTGCACTCTGACAGAGGTGGTGAGTTCTCCTCCGACCTCTTGGCAGCCTACTGTGCTGAGCACGGCATTGAGGAGTCGTTCACGCTTCCGACCTCTCCACAGCAGAATGGGATTGTGGAGCGCCGCATTGGCCTGGTCATGGAGGTCGCCCGTACCTCCTTGATCCATGCGGGTGCCCCCCACTTTCTGTGGCCGTTTGCGGTCCGGTACGCTACGCACCAGCTCAACCTCTGGCCCCGTGTCTCCTTGCGAGAGACCTCGCCCATACTGCTGTGGACGGGGGAGGTTGGCGATGCGTCGCGTTTCCGGGTCTGGGGTTCTCGAGCTTTTGTTCGCGATACGTCTGTGGACAAGCTCTCCTCCCGTGCTGTTCCCTGCGTCTTCCTCGGCTTTGTCCCGGACGCGCTTGGTTGGCAGTTTTACCACGCCACCTCGCGCCGAGTCTTGCCCTCTCAGGACGTCACTTTTGACGAGTCTGTCCCCTACTACCGCCTCTTCCCCTAACGCACTGCCTCGCTCCCCCCCCCCCGCCTCTCTTCCCCGCGCCAGGTGCTGCTGTCGTAGACTCCCTCCCCCCTGAGGGTGCCGCTCCCTCATGTGTGTCTCAGGTAGACCCGGTTGAGCCTGTTGAGGTAGCTATCGACTCTCGTACTTCTGAGGGTGCGGAGTCTGGGGGTGCGGAGCCTGGGGGTGCAGAGCCTGGGGGTGCTGAGCCTGGGGGTGCGGAGTCTGGGGGTGCGGAGCCTGGGGGTGGTGAGCCGGGGGGTGCGGAGCCTGGGGGTGCGGAGCCTTGGGGTGCTGAGCCTAGGGGTACTGAGCCTGGTGGTGCTGAGCGTGGGGGTGCTGAGTGTGGGGGTGCTGAGCCGAAGAGTCCAGAGTCTGAGGGTTCTGAGTCTGGAGGTGCTGAGCCTGGGAGTCCTACACCTGGAGGAGCCCTCTCCTCGTAGTAGCTGCGTGAGTGGTACTTATAGTACTGTAGCCTCAAGAGAGGTACCCAAGGAGCCGGGCATACTACTGGGCCTGGTGCTAGTGCTTCTCCTTCTAGTCGGGAGCTCCCCTCCCTTGAGCGGATCGGTGAGTAGTACGAGCGGCGCTGCACTCTTCGGAGTGGCGCGCCTGGTGGCACTACCCGGGACCCCAAGTAACGGGGGTTCCCTGCAACCGCACTACGCACGTGCAATGTCGAAGTTACAGAGGCACCCTGCTTTCTCGTGGGTCCAGTACTTGGGAGATAACAAGACGATACGCATTGGCAGACTTTGCCTCCTTCTAACAGCAACACGAGATGAAGGCGCATCGCGGACTCTAGGGCGTGAGGAGGTGGCTCTCATTCTAGCCGTTAACGAGGGCGAAGTTCATCAGGAGTCAGGCTGCACGGAACTGACCATGGCAGCTGCGGGCGGGGCGTTTGTTGTGATCCTAACTAAGAGCATCATCAGAACCGGGCACGTCGTGCAATCCTTCTCGCGCGCCCGTGTATGGTACCTGAACAAGTGGGCGGACCGGTGCAGGGAGGTGCACAATGCGCTGGAGTGACGACACGGGCACCATCACGGGAGAGAAGAGCATGGGCAAGGTAACCCTCACCAAATCCCAAGAACTATCGCACAGAGCCAAACTAGCATCCCAGCAGTGGGTAACTAACAGGGTTTCCAACCCAATCCCTGACCCCCCTACCCCAACTCCTAGCTCATCGTTACCCGCTCTCCCCCATCCACTTCTCTACCTGAAGGCCTGGCACCAACCCATCGTTTTATCGATCTCCTCCTTCTCCCATCCCCTAAGTACCCTCCTCGCACCCAGCTCACACGCAGCACTTCTGAGCTTGAAACGCTGACGCCCATACTCACATCGCCGCCTATGACATAGAACCCCGTATCACTGACAGCTGAATATATACTGAAAGACAAAGCTCCGCATGAAGTCCGTGCCAGGTAGCTTTGTTACGGCGCTTCATACAGCCCTTCAAACCTCCCTCAAACCCTTCCGCCCATTCTCGTGCTGCGAGGATCCTACCGACATCGCAGTGCATGGCGGATCCCACCACGTGCATCACCCGGCCCCACTCGGTGATCGAGACCTCAGAGGTGGGCACACCCGACTCCCTCTCCCACCTCCCTCAATCCCCTCGCACGCGTGTATAGTACACTCCCCTCGCTTCACGTGGCCCTCTGCTACAAAGATACAGAAAACCCTTAGCGAACACCACGGCCATACCCCACACCATCCGTTGTGGTGATACAATTCCCCCCCCCCCTCCTTCCTCCTCCCATCCGCCCCCTGTCACCCCATCTATTGCAGACGATGTACCAACATGGTATTACAGGACACGGGCCCATCCTACCTCGCGACGCTAGTTGACTTTGACGATGGCGCGGACTCACCGCCACACAAAACCCATGTCACCAGCTGAGCGCCGGCGGACCCCCTTACACACAGAGCGGAAGAGGATCCTGTAGTAATCTGCGGGGAGTACCGGGTATGCATGACCTACCCGAACCTCCTGGTGCGAGTAGATGGAAACGACACCGCGCGCATCTGAGGCTGGTGGGGAGAAGAGGATGGGAGCCCTGGAAGTGGAGCGGTGGATGGGGCCGGATCAAGAGTTGCTACTAAGCGGAGAGGGGATTACTGTGATGGCAGGGTACACACTGATTGCCGCGAGAATGGTCGGAGGGGAGGAGGGGCTTCCTGTGAAGGAGGGCAACGTGGAGCTGATGCGAGTGATAAGGAGAATGCGCGAGACCGTACATGGTAAGAACATAACATAGACGGGGTGTAAAGTTGTTGGGCGGGGTGGAGTGGCGAGCGGGAGAATGGCGTGAGATGTAAAGGGATGACCTCCGATGGGATTGGAAAGGTAGGGATAGGAAGGGATTGGACTAGATGGGCAGGGTAGGGCTGGGATGGCTAGGGATGGGATGGGATGGGATGGTATGGGACCGGATCCGGAGGGAAGGGCAGGGCAAGGGAGGGCAGGGATGGGATGGGAAGGGACGGAATGGGATGGGCTCGTATGTGATGAGGTTGGCGTAGTACAATGTAGATACTGTGCCTATCGACACATTCACCCGTGGAGAGCGTCTCGTGGCACCGACTGGGTAAGGAAGCGCTAAACGGCGTAAGATGCAGGGGACGAACGGCTTGTGTGACCATATTCCCTCCCAACCCGTGAATGTCAGTGTTGAGGCATAGCACCTAGTAACCGTAAACCCAACAATATCCCGTCCCACGACACTCAACACTCCTCCCTGGCCGTTAGCACGCCATGCCCGTGGGCCACCTATTCTCCACGCGTTACCATCGTTCCCACTCACGGTCGTACCCCTCCATGTCGCTGTCATCCCTTCCACCCCTCCCTCTCCTTTCGTTTCAAACACAGAGACAGCGCTGGCAGAGAAGGATCGGTGGGCGCCTCACTAAATGCTGACGCTCGGCGAGCGTCCACAATCGTCGCGACACCCACTCGATAGCAACATGCCTTAATTTCAGTTGAAACCCTAAATATTGCAACAATTGGACCAGGCTCCTGCACCTGGCCGAATGCAAGATGACATTTTCACGGTTAAGTAACAGCCACTGTACCATTAATTTGTATGTATTGCCAACGTGCAATGTGCACATTTATATTACCCTAAAACAAATGAGAGAGGCTATTAAAACGGGACGGACAATGTCGTATACATGAAGAAGCATACACACTCCATACAGGAGCAAACCAACGCTCGACGGTCGTGATATTCACCACGATGGAAACATGCTCTTCGCGTGTCCTACAGTTACCACTTTTTGTACAAGAACCAACAATGCACAGGAGTTCGCACTCAAGATGTGAGATCGAGGCCAGATGTGGACGAGTTTGTGGCAAGAATCCCCATGTTAGATGCAAGTTACATGCATTTGAGGCGAGTTGGACCCACCCCCAGTTTTTGGGACGCATTAGTGAGAAGCGCACGTTGGTGCTGAAGCTTGGGGGGTGCTCGGGGGAAGGGGGGGAGTGGGGTGGAGTGAGAGGGAGTTTGGATTGAAGTGGAAGGGCGTGCTGCAGGGATGGAGGGAGGTGTGCGATGCGAAGAGAAGTGGGGGGAAAAAGAGGAGGGGGTGTGCAGGGCCCGGGGATTGAAGTGTGATCGAACCGATGATAGTTTGATGGCACCTGCAAGTCATATTGTTGTCACCCCTTGTGAGAGGCCTTTCCTTTGCTCGCCCTCCGGCCACTGCCCTGTGTGTGACTCCCGTGCAGCGTGTGGCAGTGCTGACAGGGGCGGGTGTGTCTGCAGCATCACGTGTGCCCACCTTCAGAGGGGCAGGTGGGCTCTGGCGCACTTATGATGCCACGGTGGGTGCCATGCCACGGTGGGTGCCATGCCATCTTGCATGCTTCATGAAGTTCGTGTTGGTTGATGTGATGCGCCGTGGTGGGTCACTCGCATGCTGCTTTGCTGTGTGCGGCACTCATAACACCATATCAGTTGTCACCCCCCTTCCTCCCTTCCCTCGCCCTCGCCCCTTGCACCTTCACCCTTCTCACCCCTGCGCCCACAGGAGCTGGCAACCCCACGGGCGTTTGCGGCGGACCCATCGCTGGTGTGGGAGTTCTACCACTACCGCAGGTGCTGCCCTCCTGCTGCCTACCACCACTATAGCCACTTCCTTCCGTCTGCCACCACTGCAGGCTCTTGCCTCAAGTGTGGTTTTGTTGTCCGAGCCTTCTTCTTGAATTGACCGCTCTAGATCGTGCCTAGCCTTTTATAGCCGCATTTAGACGAACTTTTGGAGCATGTTCTTACCATTTCGTTTTTATCTCCCTTGTTCCTTTCCACTATTTCCTCCTTGGGCATGGCTGGCTGGCAGGAGTGTGGTGGCACGGTGCACACCCAATGCGGGCCACGAGGTGCTGGTGCAGCTGGAGTTTCGCTGCCAGTGGGAGGGCAAGGCATTCACGCTCCTCACACAGGTGCCCGTGTTCCTCTGCCGGCTCCAGGCCTTGGTGCCATGTCGTTTTCCCACTATTTACGGCTCACATGGACCCATGCCCCTCGCCAGCATCGCAATGTGGATGGACTGCCATGCTCGGCTGGGGCAGTAACATCTTCAGCTGCTTGCACCACTGCCGTCACATGTGCCCTCGTCTTGCCTGCACGGCCCTGCTGCACTCCTCGCTGTGCATTGGCGGCATGCCCACCATCGCCCCCCACCCATCGTCACCCCTCACCATCCCCTGGCAAACCTCAGAACGTGGACAGGCCGCACACAGCGGCGGGCAGCAGCGCGCTGGTGGAGCTGCATGGCTGCCTCTGGCGCACCCGCTGCCTAACCTGTGGGGACATCGCATAGAACCGCACTCAACCCATCTCTGCTGCTCTGGAGGGCAAGGTACTGGGGCTGAAAAAGGATGGGCGAAATGGGAACGGTTGGCAATGGTGGGAGGGGCTTGGGAAGAATGCTGTAATGTAAGGTTCAGTGAGGGGTTGGGGAAAGTGCAGTGATGGTAAATCCTTGATTGATGGAATTGTGCATTGCTGCTCCCTTCTTGGCTGCATTGCTGCAGGGAGCGCCCAGCGAGGGTGCCAAGGCAGCGAGCATAGCTCTCAAGGACCTGCCGCGCTGCACCAAGCTGCCCGGGAGTGCAGCTTCAAGCCGACCCTGCAATGGGTTGCTTCGGCCGGACATGGTGTGGTTCGGGGAGTGTTTGGATCTGCGGGTGGTGCAAGCAGCAGAGGACGCCCTCACTGGCTGCGACCTGCTGCTCATTGTCGGAACATCCGGTGTTGTGCATGTGAGCTACTGTGTGTGTGTGCGTGTGTGTGTGTGTGTGTGTGTGTGTGTGTCTGTGTGTGTGTGTGTGTGTGTGTGTGTGTGCGTGTGTGTGTGTGTGTGCATATGAGGCACTGTGTGTATGTGTGCATATGAGGCAGCGTGTGTGTGTGTCCATATGAGGCAGCGTGTGTATGTGTGCATATGAGGCAGTGTGTGTGTGTGCATATGAGGCAGTGTGTGTGTGTGTGTGTGTGTATATGAGGCAGTGTGTGTGTGTGCATATGAGGCAGTGTGTGTGTGTGTGTGTGTGTGCATGTGAGGCAGCGTGCATGATACACATCAACGGCATGTTGTATTTGTTACTCCCATCCATTCCTCCCCTGGTCCTCCGCTGCCAGCACTGGGTTCATCACAGGCTACACCAACAAGCAGTCCACTTCTCGTGCTCCTTTTATGCTGTACTCCTGCTCTCCTCTTCCCTGACAAGATCTGTGTTCCGAGGCCCTGACAGGAGGTTAGGTGGCATCACTGAACCCACTCCCTCCCATCTCACCTCCTTCCATCCTCTTCACCTCACCCGTTCCCTCCCCTTCCCTTCTGTCAACCCACCCGGATGCACCTCGGTGGGAGGTGCAGCCAGCAACGGGGTTTGCTTGGGTGGTGCGGGCGGCAGGGGGGCGGGTGCGGAGTTCAATGCGGAAGCCACGGCACTCTCCCCTCTCACCACCTGGAAGTTCCCTGGAGACTCTGCCATGCTTCTGCGGCTCGTGCTGGGGTGAATGGAAGCAAAATGGGGTGATGGCGACTCAGCAATGTACCGGTCTATACAGACCGGAATGCGTTATGAAGGATTGATCGTCAGCCACACATGCGACCAGGGCCTCAGATTCGTCAAATTTTCATCGCACAAAAGAATGCCCGAAACGAATGTTTGATCAACCTATGTTGTATGGTACCGTATGGTTCAATCGGGTGATGCATCGCACCATGCACTGCTCTGTAGAACTACAATAGATGCACAAACAATGCAGATAATATTACACTATGTATGCTGATTCACCTGTCAATAAAGCTGACTACCCTTCAAACTATAATCAACCAGCATCACGATTTCAGATGAAACATTGCCATGCCATGCTATGATATCAGCAGTCTCTGAGGCCCATCGTTTTGGACATCTTAGCACCAGGAGAAACGTTCTGTACTCTTGAGAAAGTGCAGGGAACTGCAGCAAGGTGACGTTTGAATCGACTCAGGAGTCACCCAAAAGCACCTAGGGCGTTGCTGAGCCACATGCTGCCTCCTCTGCTGCACATCTCGGTGTTTTGAGGGCAGCACCTGTCGAGTTCTCCAATGCTTCAATTTGGACCTGCATGGATGCATGAACAGCAAACCATTGGAAACCAGAAGCAGCTCCTCGCGTGATCAGAAACTTCTGCATGGTGACTCTAGGATTGTTTGAGCTCTAAGAGACGGTGACACGTGCCTGGCACGCAACGTGCGCACACTTTGAACATGCTTACGCGTCAGCGGTAGTAGTTGCTAACAATCGCCAACATTGATTCGAAAGATACTACAGTATAGAAAACCGGTGAGTGTACCTGTAGGTCTCGTATGTGAGAGAGGGCAGACTCCACCATTGTGGCTGTATCGAGTTGTGCTCTTGTGAGAGATGGGGGTAGCACCCTACGAAGCTTCTCTAGGCCTCTCCTGATACAATCACATCCAAAATATGCACAGGAATAGAAGAAGGTCACATGCTCACTTGATACAGGCCTCGAAAGAAAGTAACTCAGGTGTCACACACAAGGCCAACTGCCCACTGAATGTCCAATCAATGCAAATGGCAGATAGGGCTCAACACGAAGAGGAGGGTGAGGGGAAGAGGAGGGGGAGGGGAAGAGGAGGGGGAGGGGAAAGAAGAGGAAGGAGGAAGCCGTAGTGGACAGGGGGAGAGGAGGAAGAGAATGGGGCGGGTGATGGCGGAGGAGGAAGGGGAGGGTGAAAATGGAAAAGAGAAGGGAACGAAGGGGAGCAAACAGCGGGAAGGTTAGAGAGGAATGGAGGGAAGAACGGTCACCTGATACGATCGCGGCGGTGCCTCTCCTTCATGCTCCTGGCCTGTATGCATCCCAGCCCCACCGCCTGCCCATCCAATCGTGCTCGAATGCGCGGTCGCCAGTCCTCCCCTTCCCACCCGCCCTCCTTCCGCTTTGCCTCTTTCACTCCCGTCTCTTCCTTTCTCACCGCCCATTCTGCCTTAATCACTTCCCTCTCGTCCGATACTCCCCTCACGTTCGACCACTGCAGTACCTTCTCCGAACCAATCAGGGACGTCCACGTGGCAGGAGGCTCTTGCACTGTCACGGCGTGACCCCATTCTCCCTCATGGTACACACCAGGAGTGGCAGCAGGTGAACAGCAAGCACCAGCACAGCCAGGCGTGCAGCAAAAACCAGGAGCGGTGGGCGTGAAGAAAGCAGGGAGCGGACAGGCAGCAGCAGCAACAGCTGCAACAGCAAGGCGTGATGCTGGGGAGTCCGCAAGAGATGCATTGTCGTGTGAGTTAAGGCAGGCGCTGGCGGGCCCGGCAAGGCCGCCTGACAATGCAGGGTCCATGCTGTTCATCCCTTGTCCCTCCTGTACTGTGCACCCTAGAGGCGCCTCAAAAGAACAACTTTGCATCGTCCCTCCCTCGTGCAGCATCGCTCCCTCCATCCCGCCACCCCACATCATCCCTCCCTCCTGCATCCCCCCATCCTGCAACATCAAAGCTTCCAGCATCAGCATCCCCTCCAGCACCCCCCCCTCCTCCTGGCTTGCACCTAAGCACCTACCCTCCTCCAGCCACACCGGGAAAGCCAGGGCTGGTTTTTCCACCTCAGCGTGCCCTTGAGAATACTCAACCATCTCATGCACACCAGAATCGCCCATCCCCCCTTGCTCCTCCATCCGCATCTGCATCTGCGCGTAACGGGCGGCATGCACAGATTCTTGGATCAAATCGGGTGGCAGAGACAGCCCTGCCAGCTCAGCCTGTGCCACCCAGCTTCTGACCGCCACTTGCTGCTGTTGCACCAGAGAGGCCGATGCTGCACCAAACTTATTAATGGTAGCGACATCACCACCAACGCCTGCTACCACCATACTGTCTGTTCCAGATGCGCTCAAACCATGTGCGCTCCAGCTCTCCACTGCCACTTGATGCTGCTGCTGCCGCCGCCGCCGCTGCCGCTGCTGCCATTGCTGTTCCTGAAACAGCTCCACCACGGCTCGTTCCAAAACAGGAACTTGAGCATGTGAAAGGGACGGAGACTGCACGGGCTCCTGGGGACTCACATTCAGCCGACGCTGCATGCAAGGCGCCATGGCGAGCTCCTCATGCTGTCCCTGGCGCCTCAACAGCGCCTGCCCAGTGCTCCCATTGGAGCCTCGAGGCACCTTGAGAAGTGGGGTAGGCGGACACACGAGGGCTGCTGCCACAATGGGCTCTTCAACTTGTCCCTGGAGCCTCACCAGCTCCGCCAAGAGACCACTCTCCTCCTCCTCAGTCCCTATATGCGATTCTTGAGGCGCCTCGAAGGTAAATGGCCCGTGGCGCCTCAGCAGCTCCGCCAAAGGACCACTCTCCTCCTCATCCGTATAAAGACGCCGTCTGTCCATCTCTGTAGGTCAGATGTTCTCTGGTTTGCTTCAAGGATGCTTGGCTTGAAGGTCACTGGGAGGTGTAACTCCTGGTGCGGAGCGGAGCTACCCAGCGAGATACAAGCTGGCAAATCCGAAGCACCTACAAGGCAGGAAGCATCGACGCGGAAGTTCAAGGTATGGCTGCGAGGTCTCGATAGCCCGGATTACAGGAAAGGGGAGTAAACGTTTATAGAATGCAGGAGGGAAAAGGTGAGTATAGTACCGCCGTAGCTTCAACGCCTTCCTTACTACTCCCTCTCCTCCTACTACGTGGCCTGTGATTGCCAGGGCCGCAGCCGCCACGAGTTGAAGGCGAAAAGGAGTGCGAGGATGCTGGTAACCACCGAAGGGAGCTCCTGGAAACGCGGCACTGAGACTCGCAGATACTAGCTTCCAGCAGTGCGAACCAGCTCCCACAGCCGCGAGCCATGTCCACCGTCCAGCCACCACGAGAGGACATCTTTAATGCGGGAGGAGGTTTCTCACGCCGGGATGGCAGCTCTATAGCCACGATCTGTCTCGACGCGGGCGTTGCCTTTTCAAGCCTAAGGAACGACTTTGGCATCGCAACCTCGCACTTGGAGTCAAGCGTGGCGGGAGTGGTCTGCATCAAACGCGAAATCGACGAATTTCAGTTGCTATTACCGATTGGCTTGGCGTTGAGCGATTGTGCGTCATCACCTACACGCGAACGCGCATCTAGGGGCGAAATATCTAGACTGTGTCCTACATCGCCGCAGATGGAATTTTCCAACTCGACGTATCACGTGAACGGGGGGAGCAATGACGAGAAAGCTGACGGAGCAGGATGATCGCGTCACGTGATGGTCTGTCGTCACGGGATCTGTCGGGAAATACTACTGAAGGGGCGAAGGCAAGTTCGTCAGATT